TACTCCGAGAACCTGTACTCTAATAAAATGGAAAACACAGAAGAAATGGACAAATTTCTAGATACATATGAATTACTAAAGTTAAACAAAGAAGATATAAAAATGTTAAACACTCCAATTACAATCAGTGAAATTGAAAATGTAATTAAAAACCTAACAACAAAGAAAAGCCCAGGTCCTGATGGCTTCACTGCTGAATTCTATAAAACATTTAGAGAAGAACTGTTGCCACTACTATATAAACTTTCCAATGAAATTGAAAGAGAACCAATACTTTCAAATTCATTCCTGGAAGCAAGTATCACTTTGATTCCAAAACCAGGGAAAGACCCAACCAGAAAAGAGAACTACAGGCCAACCTCCCTAATGAACGTAGATGCAAAAATCTTCAATAAGATACTGTCAAACAGAATACAGAGGGTCATCAAGAAGATCATGCACCGTGATCAAGTTGGATTTATCCCAGGGATGCAAGGATGGTTCAACATATGTAAATCAATAAATGTAATACACTATATTAACAGAGTCAAGCACAAAAAACATATGATCATCTCAATAGATGCAGAAAAAGCATTCAATAAAATTCAACACCCATTCATGATAAAAATAAAAAAAAACCCTGCAGAAAATTGGAATAGATGGTCTTTATCTCAACTTGACAAAGGCCATCTATGAAAAATCAATAGCCAACATCATACTAAATGGACCAAAACTGAAAACCTTCACGCTAAAATCAGGAACAAGACAAGGATATCTACTATCAGCACTCCTACTCAATATAATTTTGGAAACATTAGCCAGAGCAATTAGACAAGAGAAAACAATAAAAGGAATATAGATAGGAGAAGAAGTTAAGCTATCATTATTTGCTGATGATATGATACTCTACATAGAAGACCAAAAAAATTCTGCCAAAAGACTTCTAGACTTAATTGACAGATTCATTAGAGTACCTGGATTTAGGGTCAACACTCAAAAATCAATAGCTTTCTTGTACACAAATAACAGACTCACTGAAAGAGAAATAAGAGAAACAATCCCTTTCACAATAGTATCCAAAAAAATGAAATATTTAGGAATCAATCTAATGAAGGAAGCAAAAGACCTCTACATTGAGAACTGCAGCACTCTGAAAACAGAGAGTGAAGAGAATATAAGAAAATGGAAAGACATCCCTTGTTCCTGGGAAGCAAAAACCAATATAAGGAAAAATGGCCATACTTCCAAAACTTCTATACAGATTCAATGCAATCCCGATTCAAACCCCAGCAGCATATTTCACAGAGCTAGAGAAAACAATCTAAAAGCTCATCTGTAACCAGAAGAGACATAGAATAGCAAAAGCAATTCTAGGCAACAGTCATAGCAGGGGATATCATAATTCCCAACTTGAAACTGTACTACAAAGC